TGAATCGAGCTCCATCAACTGCAATAGAGCTGAAGACACCAATGGAGATGTGGACTGGTAAACCAGCTGATTATTCAAACCTCCATGTATTTGGAAGTGTTATGTATGTGATGTACAACTCCCAAGAAATTTCAAAGTTGGATCCAAAATCCAGGAAATGCAAATTCTTGGGGTATGCTGATGGTGTAAAGGGGTATCGCTTGTGGGATCCCACTACCCGCAAAGTGATCATCAGTAGGGATGTTATCTTTGTAGAATATAAACTAAAAGAAGACGGTGATAGCACTGAAAAGTCAGAGACTACGCAGATACATATAGAAAATAAGGTTGAACAAGGAGATTCTTCTGAAGCAGAACCAACACATGATGAACAAGAACTAGAGAGTTCTGAAGCTCCAACAACTCGTCAATCAGATCGTGTGAGAAGACGTCCCAATTGGCACTCAGATTATGTTATAGAATGTAATATTGCATACTGCCTTTTAACAGAGGACGGTGAGTCATCAACATACTAGGAGGCAATAAACAACTCAGATGCTTCATTATGGATGATGGCGATGCAAGAAGAAATTGAAGCCCTTCATAAAAATAATATATGGGACCTTGTGCCACTACCACAAGGAAAGAAATCAATTGGTAACAAATGGGTCTTCAAAATCAAGCGAAATGGTGACGATCAAGTTGAGAGGTATCGTGCAAGACTGGTGGTCAAGGGATATGCTCAAAAAGAAGGTATTGATTTCAATGAAATATTTTCTCCTGTGGTTCGACTAACAACAGTTCGAGTAGTTTTGGCAATGTGTGCTACATTGAACTTACATCTAGAGCAGCTTGATGTTAAAACAGCTTTTCTTCATGGAAATCTTGAAGAATAGATTTATATGCTCCAGCCTAAAGGTTTTGAAGAAGACGAAAAGAAGAACTTGGTTTGCAGGTTGAACAAATCTGTACGGTCTAAGGTAGGCGCCGAGGTGTTGGTATAAGAGATTTGATTCCTTCATTATGTGCCTTGGATACAACAGACTTAATGCAGACCCTTGTGCTTATTTCAAGAGATCTGGTGATAACGATTTTGTTATATTGCTGTTTTATGTGGATGACATGTTGGTTGCAGGACCCAAAAAAGATCATATTGACGAATTGAAGGCAGAATTGGCTAGGGAATTTGAAATGAAGGACTTGGGATCAACAAACAGGATTCTAAGGATGCAAATTCACCGAGACAGAAGTAATAGGAAGATTTGGCTTTCACAAAAGAATTACTTGAAGAAGATCTTGTCACGATTCAGCATGCAAGATTGTAAGCCAATTTCTACCTCTCTTCCTATTAACTTCAAATTATCCTCCAGTATGAGTCCTAGCAGTGAACAAGAGAGGATGGAGATGTCTCGAGTACCGTATGCATCAGCAGTGGGAAGTTTAATGTTCGCTATGATATGCACAAGACCAGACATTGCACAAGCAGTGGGAATAATTAGTCGGTACATGGCGAATCCAGGCAAAGAGCATTGGAATACAATAAAGAGGATCCTGAAATACATCAAAGGGACCTCAAATGTTGCATTATGTTACAGAGGATCAAACTTACTAATCAATGGGTATGTAGATTCTGACTATGCAGGGGATTTGGATAAAAGCAAATCTACAACAGGATATATGTTCAAAGTTGTTGGTGGAGCTGTAAGCTGGGTTTTAAAATTACAGTCAGTTGTGGCTACATCCATTACAGAGACAGAATATGTAGCAGCTACACAAGCCAATAAAGAAGTAATTTAGTTGAATATGCTATTGGAGGAGCTTGGGCACAATCAAGAGTATGTCTCTCTGTTTTGTGACAGTCAAAGCGCCTTGCATTTAGCAAGGAATCCAACATTTCATTCAAGGACAAAGCACATACGAGTTCAATACCATTTCATTCGTGAAAAGGTGGAAGAAGGGACGGTAGATATACAGAAGATCCATACCAAAGACAACATAGCAGATTTCATGACGAAAGCGATCAACACTGATAAATTTACTTGGTGTCGATCCTCGTGTGGTCTGTCAGAAACGTAAGCAACATGATGGTACAAGGTATAAAGAATGATGTGAAGATATGATTGTTCCAATCAAATCTTCAAGTGGGGGATTGTTGGTGCACATGGCACCGAAAGGTGTTGAAGAAAAAATAATAATGAATGAAGTCAAGAATTGTAGGCATCGAATGGTAGGTGCATAATTTGTTGATTTTTCAATAATAGTAGAACCTCAATTTTAGCCATTGTAATTTAGGGTATTTACAAATTAGTCCTTAAAGCTTCAACTATAAATACCCTAGCTCATTTAGCTTCAAAGCCATCCCAAAGCATTCTAGCTTTCTTCCAATACTAGAGAGAATTTAGAGAGTTTCTTGAGAGTTGCTTTCTCATTTTTATCAAGAGAGAATTATCATTGTTTTCTCCTTGGTAGATCGAGAGAAGTTGTAATTCATATTTCTTATAGTGAAATTCTTCTACCGTTGCCCGTGGTTTTTACCCTATATTATTTAGGGGTTTTCCACGTAAATTTTGTCTCTCTTTTATCCTCATTTTTATTTTCTCAAATTATCAGTTGTGATTTTGCTATATCCGATAGTTGTCTTCCGCAACACTTTGAGCATCATCAATGGTGATCTTCTCGTATCCAAGCTTATTCAAAGATTCTTTAACCATGTTCCTCTTGGTAATCATGTAAGCCTCACAGCATTCAGATTTATATCCTCCATAGACCATCTCCTTGGCGATCTTATTCAAGGTGATCAACACTTGATTATAATAGCCTAGATAGTTTTGTTCTTGATCGGAATGATGATCGACCGATTGATCTTCGCTAGCCTGATCTGAAGCCTCAAATTCTTCCATGAGAGACATGAATTCATCCGAACTGATTAGAATAACACATATCGTTGATCAAAGAACTGTGATCGGAGGTTTCTCTGGATCTTACACATGGCTCGCTGGGAGGCTTCTTCCATGGCATATTTGGTATGGAGATCTCCTTTATCTTGAGTTTCTTTCTCTGGTTTCTCTGTCTCTACAATGGAGGTTTCTTGATGGTGGTGGTGGTTGTCTTCCATGGCTGAAAATCATGAGGAGAAGTGCATGATTTTGTCGGAAGGGGAATTGAAATAGGCGTGGGTGGCAGTAATGTACGAAGGGACACTGAGGTTTTATTTTCGATGGTTGTAGTATCTGTTTTGTCGGAGGGTTAAGTCATAACCACATCACCTTGTAAGAATAAACATCGGTTCCCGGCAGAGCTGTTCATCCCTTGACTCATTGCCATCGACGTACGGAGAGTGCCTTCCCTTGACTTATTGGTGAATAGTCCCAGTAAGAAGAAGAAGAAGAAGACCCATGTGGGTGTTAAACAAACTAGGGTGTTTTTGAATTTTTTTTATTTTTTAGTTGTAAACTCAAACTTATATTAATGTATTAACGAAAGTTAACGATTGAAGTATTTAAACCGGATGAACCGATAAAGTAAGAGATCAAACACACTTAATTAAAAAAATCTGGTGACCAAAATCAATTTAACTGAAAATAAATGGAACTAGTGGCATAGTTTAGCTTTTTTTTTCATAAACGTAACTACTTAAACTGATATTTCTCTTCAATTCTTCAGGGTTTTTTTGGCCAAATAATCCATTACAAGATTAAAAATTAAAGGAATGTAGTGATCATGAAAAAGAGGAGTAATTATTATAATGAAGTAAACTCGAAGTTCAAACATAACGCATTTTAAAAGAATTTATTATTTTCAATGATTTTTTTTTAAAAAATTCTTTTAAATAATATAGTTTCTTAAACTCATCATATTATTACGATAAGTTCTATCTCCATTATAATAATTTTTTTCTCAAACTATATTTTTCTTATTTTTTTCCCCTTTCTTACATTATTTAAAAAAAATAAAATTCTAAATTATTCTAATTACGATCACTAACAATTCCAATTGATATAGTCAATGAAAATTGAGTGTGGTTGAAGCAAATTAATTATACTCTCCTGTAGACATGATCGAAAATTTGAATTGTTATGAATAGGGTTAAGCGTTCGATTAAATCAAATCGAGTAAAAAAATTTCGAATTATTCGAGTTGATGAGTCATTTTGTTTACAACTTGAAGTTACATAAGTTCAATTTGACTTCAAAAAAAAAAAGTTAGACTTGAAATTTTTTTCGAATCAAGTCGAATTTTCAAGTTTCTATTTAAATTTAATTGTAAATGTTTATAATATTATGATATTATTTGATTCTAATTTAAATGATTTTTTATAAACATATACAATACATACATATTTCTTCATATTTTTTTCATATGTGATAAACATATATCATACAAACTCGAGGGACTCGACTCAAACTTAAAAACAAATCCACTAATTACTAAAAATTTTGAGTTATTTAAGTTATTTGAGTTGTATTTTACAACTCGATCTGAACTTGAAATTTTTTTGATTTTAGTCGAATTTATGAAATTATAACTCAAAGTCAATTCAATCAAGTCGAGTTTTGTTCACCCCTAACTATGCATGTAATTGTAATCACTTTGAAATTCTTATATTAGTTTTGATAAAATGTTTAGTTATTAAATTTTAATCATATTTCATTTTAATTATTAAACTATAAAAAATTGAAGTATAGCATCAAATTTTTTCGAATTTGTTTTTCAGTTGTTGAGCTATTAATCTTGACTAGCGTGATGACATCTCATTTCCTTTGATATTTATTTTCGCAAAAATAGTAAAATTCTCTCCAATTATTGAAAATTAGAGTATTATAATCAATTCAAAATTACCTTTTAAATTATATTTTTATACAAATAGATTACTGTGAAAATAAAAACAAAACAAACTGTTATATTATATAACCAATCTTTAATTTTCATAATTTTCTTAGTATCTTAGACCAATGTTCATCAGCACATTTGGAATATGATAGAAGGAGCTAAAAATTAGAGAATAAAATGAAAAGAAAACAGTACACGGATGAACGTAAGGGGAGAGAATCTTCTCCTACAGAAGAACGTACAAAAAGATTTGAAACCCTTAAATTGGTGATTAAATATTTGTAAGAACAGAATGAGAGCCCAGCTGAGCAGATTCTCACTGCTGGTTTGACTGTTCCGGTTGCTTTTGCTGCACATCCTCTTGCTTCGCTGCTTCTTTAATCTCATCAGCTGCGTCTTCCTGATTAATTTCAATGAAATTTACATTTGAGATAGCATTACATTTGTATATGCTGGCAGGGAATTAAATTGCAGTTCCAGTTCCGGATATAGCGGGTGCTATAGAAGTCATTATGAATATTGTGTCATACAATAACAGTTTCGAACTAAGCAATTGATCAAGAGAAATTAATTTGTATTTACCTGCAAATCGGAGGTCCAGAGAGTGAGATTGTCGCGGAGGAGTTGCATGATGAGGGTGCTATCTTTGTATGATTCCTCGCCTAAGGTGTCCAACTCAGCGATTGCTTCATCAAATGCCTGTCCCGATCGCAAGGAACCACGTTAGCAACTCTAGATGTACGCGCAAACTATGTTTATTTTTGGGAGGAAAAAGATGAATTGTAACCAACCTGTTTTGCAAGATTGCAAGCGCGATCAGGAGAGTTGAGAATTTCGTAGTAGAAAACAGAGAAATTGAGTGCCAATCCGAGCCGGATCGGGTGAGTTGGAGCCAAATCGGCGCTGGCAATGTCCTATGAAACAAAAAGAAACCAAGCTTAATGTCGATAGAAATGCTTGAATCATGTTTCTAAGGGGGGAAAGGGCAGCAATCTTGAAAACCTGAGCAGATTTGTAAGCAGTGAGAGTACTCTCAGCAGCTTCCTTACGTTCGGCTCCAGTCTTGAACTCAGCCAAATACCTATGATAATCACCCTTCATCTTGAGATAAAAGACCTTGGAGTCTTTAGCGGAAGCCGAAGGGATGAGCCTGGAGTCAAGCAGCTTCAAGATCCCGCCACAGATGGAGGAAAGCTCGGCCTCTATCTTGGCCCGATAATCACGGATGACAGCCACGTGATCCTCGTTACCACGGCTCTCCTCTTTCTGCTCAATGGAGGAAACGATCCGCCACGAAGCACGGCGTGCGCCGATCACGTTCTTGTAAGCGACGGAAAGGAGGTTCCGTTCCTCGACGCTGAGCTCCTCGTTGTCGGCGGAGAGGGAGACCTTCTCCATGAACTCGACCATTTCGTCGTAGCGTTCGGCTTGCTCGGATAGCTTGGCCATGTAAACGAATTCCTCGCGGGAAGAAGGGGCGGCAGCCATTTCGTTAGATTATGGAATGGGGGCTTCGGAGAGATTAGGGAATGGAAGAAGAGGTAGGTTATGAAAAATGATTTAGATGTAAGATTACAGGGTTTGAGAGGATGGGAGAAGTGGGGGGCGATGATTGCGTTGAAGAAGGGAAGCTGGCAAACACGAGATTCTAAATTTTTGGAGAAATTCAAAAGGCTAATCTCACGCTCTCTCCTCTCCCCCTCTTTTTGAGGGAGGGATGGGATTTGATTTGAATTTTTTAATATATGATTTGAGCTTTTAAGTATTTACAGGCTTTCTTGGACCACCTCTTTTGCTCTCAATATTTTTTTTTTATAAATAACATACTATGATTATAAGATAATTTTTTCTTAATTTATTAATAATAATATATCCTACATATATATTCTTGAGATTTCAAGTCACTACGTGAAGTATATAACATTATGATCATTAGGCCAAACCTTAAAGTTTTTTTTGTTTTTTTAATTTTTTTTCCAAAATCAAACTCAAAACGTAAATAGTTCTAAACAATGTTATTAAAACCGGACCGGACCGGCCGGTTCGACCGGTTGAACCGTGAACCGATGGCCTGTCCGGTCCGGTTAACTCCCAAAACCGGATTAGCACAGAACCGGTAAAGAATCGGAAGAACCGGCTGAAAACCGGGAAAATAGGGGTGAACCGGCTGAAAACCAGCAAAACCGGTTTGAACCTGTCGGAACCGTCTTTCGGTTTGGGCCCCGGAATTGGACTTCGACTTGAATAATTGGGTTAGGAGTCGCCACCGACCATTTTAAAACGAATTTGGGTGGGTCGGACACCATCTTACCTGATCAGCGTTGTACCAGAAACGTGTCGGATTCGGGAGTCGGTTACGGTCAAAGAAGGATTAGCACCCTTGAACCGCCCTTTCGGTACCAATTAATTTGTCGGTTGTCTTAGTTGCGAAAATTTAAAATTTAAATTTAAATTTAAAACATCGATTTGAATAATTACCTTTGATCGATTGAAATTACTACAAAAAAATATATGTTAGATGAAATAAAATAAAATAAATAAAATAAAAATGAATATTAAAGAGAATGGTAAAATGAAAGGTTTGAGGACTGAATAATAATTAAACCTAAACGAGATGGTGACTAAAATGTAAAACAAGGTAATATTATAAGGACCTGAATGTGATTAGACGCAAAAATTTGGTGGTCAATGTGTAAAAACAAGACAGAAATGGAAGGGCTTAAACATGAATAGACCAACACTTTAAGCGATCAATATAAAATATGGTAAGAAATTTAAGGACCTTAACTAAGATTAACCCAAAATTAAATTAAAAGTAATTATCCTCTCCAAATAATTTGCAGAATGCGTGCAAAGCCAAATTAAAAAGGCTTTTCCTTTTCCTTTTCTCTCCTTTTATAATGATGGGTTTTCTCCCTTTTTTTTATTCATAAAAACAAAGAACCAACCGACAAATAAGAGTGCAAAATCAACAGATCTGATCAAATTCAACGAAAATATAAAGCATTCCAGTGTATTGGATAAATATAAATCTACAAGAAGAGAAAGAAATAAGAGAGGTGAAGCAGGAAAAATAGAAATACAAATCTGTGTCGCCGTTGCTTGACGCTTTTTCAGATCTCGTAGGTCACGGTCCGAAACTGACTCTCTCTTTTTCTTTTTCGGTTGATTTTTCTTTTGGTTTTTTCAATATTTTCTCTGGGTTTTGTATTCTGAATCTCTCTAATATTCCCCCTCGAAATGCTTTTGTATTTTCCGTTCGAATGAATATGTTTTTTTGTTCGGTGTTTTGTTCCACCCGTATTTTGTCCCCGAATGCTCTCCTTATTTCGTATGATTTTGCCTCGTAATCTTCTTCTCCCTAGTGTGTGAATTTACATCAATTTATAGGAATGAAATTCCTATTTTTAGACTCGATTGAGTGTTTCACTTTGAGTATAACACTAATGATTGGTGTTTGTTTCTTGCGCTGGATGTTGTGGACACGATCGAGTTGTTGCTGAGGCGCGAGACGTGCGGTCGTGATTCATGTGACGCTGGGGTGATGAGTTTGGGCTCCAAGTCAGCTGCTGGTCATCAGACGGGTCTACTGTTGGGCTACCTGTTGGACCAATGTTGGTGATGGTTCACTCCTTGTAAAAATATTGGGCTTGAGCTTGTAAAGCAAATGAAAACAAATTTAAATATAAATCATATATTATATAATATGATTTATAATGTAAATATATTATATAATATTATAATATTAGAGGTCGAAATTAGGTGTCTACAGCTGCCCTTCTTTGTCTTTTTTCGTGAAACGAAAAATATGACAAAGACAAAATGACACAAATTTCGTTCGGTGGAGTTGAAGAATAACTCCCTGTCGAATTGTGTTGTGGATGGCCCATTTGTTGCGAAGTCGAGTTCATCTTGAAATGATATGGAATTGAAGTCGTAGTCCGGAATTTGAATTGGAACGTGACTTCTCGTCGTCAAATTTTAGTTAACTTTGGTCTTCTTCTCGGTTTAAAAACTTTAGTTAAAAATCCGACTGGAAATTAATTCTTTGACTCCACGCTGTGGTTGACAGGCCCTTGAGCTGAATGAAATCGAACTCAAAGTCCTCGTTGACAGATAGCTTTTCTCGACTTAAGCTATGCTGCTGAAAAAACAGTTTCTTGTCATTAAGGTACGGTTAATCCAGGTCTTCTTTTCGACTTGAAAAACCTCGATTACAGTCGAACAGTAGTGTGATTCAAGTGTAATCGAGCTGAATGAAATCGAACTCGACAATCTTCTTGACAGATAGCCCTTCTTGCCTTGGGCTATGCTGTAAATGATGTGCCTAAGAGATGAGCGTAGTCGAACTTGAAGGTCTTTGTTGGCAGATAACCCTTCTAGCCTTGCGTTATGCCGCAAATGATGTGCCTTGGAGCTGAACGTAGTCGAACTCGAAGGTCTTTTGGTGACAGATAACCCTTCTAGCCTTAAGTTATGATGTAAATGATGTGCCTTGGAGCTGAGCGTAGTCGAACTCGAAGGTCTTTAGTTGGCAGATAACCCTTCTCGACTTAAGTTATGCTGCAAATGACGTGCCCTCGAAGCTGAGTGTAATCGAACTCAGGGGTCTTTGGCAGATAGCCATTCTCGACTTAAGCTATGCTGCAAATGATGTGCCTTGGAGCTGAGTGTAGTCGAACTCGAAGGTCTTGTGTTGGCAGACAACCCTTCTAGACTTAAGTTGTACTGCAAATGATATGCCTTGGAGCTGATCGTAGTCGAACTCGAAGGTCTTTTGTTGGCAGATAACCCTTCTCGACTTAAGTTATGCTGCAAATGATGTGCCGTTGAGCTGAGCGTAGTAGAACTCAAAGGTCTTTTGTTGGTAGACAACCCTTCTAGACTTAAGTTGTGCTGCAAATGATATGCCTTGGAGCTGAGCGTAGTCGAACTCGAATGTCTTTTGTTGGCAGACAACCCTTCTAGACTTAAGTTGTACTGCAAATGATATGCCTTGGAGCTGAGCGTAGTCGAACTCGAAGGTATTTGGTTGGCAGATAACCCTTCTCGACTTAAGTTATGCTGCAAATGATGTGCCGTTGAGCTGAGCGTAGTCGAACTCAAAGGTCTTTTGTTGGCAGACAACCCTTCTAGACTTAAGTTGTGCTGCAAATGATATGCCTTGGAGTTGAGCGTAGTCGAACTCGAAGGTCTTTGGTGACAGATAACCCTTCTAGACTTGAGTTATGATGTGAATGATATGCCCTCGAAGCTGAGTGTAATCGAACTCGGGGGTCTTTGGCAGATAGCCCTTCTCGACTTAAGCTATGCTGCAAATGATGTGCCTTTAAGTTGAGCGTAGTCGAACTCGAAGGTCTTTGGTTGGCAAATAGCCCTTCTTGTCTTGAGCTATATTGCAAATGTTGTCTTAAAAAAATGGCTTCTCTTCACAGGTCTAAGCCGGTCGTAGTTCTTTAGGTGGTTCCTCTGAGCGAGTCTGAACCAAATGAGACGATCTTTGAATGACTCCCCTTTTACGGGAAAGCCCGCTGATGAATTCTGTCAGCCGAATATCTTCCGTCGTGGAATTGAAATCTGGCTTGAAGACATTAACAGAAAACATGTTGTTCATTGTTGAGTTGAGATGAACCATATTTGATCTGAATTGGTTCTCGAACCAATCTGAAATTGATTCTGAGATCTGTAGATATGTCAAGTTGGTTGAGGTGTAGCTTCTTACTGCTGAGTTAAGCAACCACCATCGTTCTTCAAAGGCGCTTGTGAATCGAGTATCCTTCATCCTGAAGTTGAAACTTGATTCTAAAAGCTGCAAAAAATCATGTATGCCAAAATGACGAATGTGATGCACCTAAGTATGTCTAAGATGCATGCAACATGAATGAATTATGTGTTATTTCTTGGATGGAGTCTCATGTTTGGCATGTCATTCTGGTCGTTGGAATGGATCGTGCCCCATTTGCTTCCTGAGCTTTGGCTTTACAGACCTTTCATATCTGAGACTGTTCTGCTTGAAAATGTTTTTCTCCTTTTTATTGTTTTAGGAGAGAGAAATGATAAAAATGTTGTAAAATATTGTTCGCAATTAAATCAAATTGTAAATGTGAGTTCAAAAAATATCAAAGGAATCAAGAGCTCTTTTAATGCTTTCAGAGTTACAAATCTTTGAAAAATGTTCAAATGGATGAGTTGCCTTTAGGTTGGCCTCCTTTCTAAGGTTTTGGTAACCCAAAAATGTCATTTTTTTTAAATATCGAAATATGCTTTGGCATTTCATTTGGGTGCGGACAAAATGACGCAACTAGAATGACCAATTACTAGACATTTTATTTTGGTCCTCTGAAATCTTCCATTTGTTCAAGCTTTGTAGGCTCCTCCAACAAAGGCAGTGCAAAAAATATCGGTCTAAAAATGAAATTCTTGAGTGCTCGTGTGTAGTCGACTATAACAGGTGTTCCTTAACACCCTTAGTCCAACATTACCGAAAATTTCTTGCTTAGATAAATTTGATTTAATTTACCGTTATCTGGCAAGCTAGATCCATAAAGCCGGGGCATTTAACCAATTGCTTTAGAGGGACCACTTATAATCAGTTTTATCAAGTTAACTGAAGGGTTCATTTCATCACAGAGTCTTCAGCCTGACAAGAGCAGTGGAGCAAACACCGAATTGTCAAGTGTCCGAGCAATGTCATGGTTTGAAC